CTACCTATACGTAATATTGTCAATAACTTTATATTTTATATTTAAATTAGGAACTTGAAAATAACACTAAAATATGATTCTCGCCGTATTATACAGTAATTATAAAAAAATCTAAAAAAGGGGAAAGTAGGTAACCGCTCTGTTGTACAATAGGTGTCCAGAAGATTAGCTAGTCATTGAGTAAGGTCACCGTAATATGGATGTGTTAAATTTTAATTCCATGTTATTCTGAGTGGAGATGCAGGTCTTTCAGCCTATATTACTAAATGACGTATTACTAATATAGTTTAGACCTATATTACTAATATAGTTTAGGCCTATATTACTAATATAGTTTAGGCCTATGTTACTAATATAATATTTTATGATATAGGCATAAATTAATAATTAGAATTATTTATTTCAATTACAACAAAATAACTAAAATCATTTTTCTACGTATCTAATTTCGACCCAATTTTAACTTTAAATGTCCTTGAAAATAACATACAAATATAATTTTAATATTTTTGGGTTACGGTATACGAACTACTTATGAAGATCCTGCTTGTATTACATTTTAAAGCATTTTGACCCAATGAAAACAATTTTATGGACATTTATAAAAAAATAAAAATAAAATATAGCTGTAAATAAGTCAAAATAATTAGAAAATGATATTATGTGTAGAAAATGATAATATAAACATTTGGTAAAACTGTTAAGTACCTATCTATGGTTTTATTCGGTTTTGAGTATTACAACAAATTAAGAAAATCTACCTATACATATTTACTGCTTGAATATTTCGTCAAAATTTAAACTTCCAACGTTCAGAAAAATATATTTTTGTAGAATTAGACTCAATTTTTTTTTTATTTCTACAATAACGCAACATGAGTTATGAGGAACCATTTGTTAAATTTTCAAATGTTAGGTATAAATAAAAATATTTTTGTTAATTTTTACCTTTAAAATAATTTGCCAATTTCATGATTTTGACGAATTTTATAAAATTTACATTAAACACATATAAAAAAATATTGTGACTATGAATTTCATACATTTTTTAATTGGAAAAAAAGTTTAGTTGGACGACACATAATATGAGGAACCAGTACGTGTGTAACCGCCGACCGATTCACACGTGTGTTCACGGTCTTCGCTTATCGCATTTCTTAGCTTCCGATAGCAGTAACACACACGTCGCATTACGCAACTCACTGCAATTAAGAAGGTATGTTGTTATACTACGGCCCCCCATAACCAAATAGGTAACAACTTCCACCCCCGCCTTATACACCATCATGGACAACCATGATACACACATAAACCCCAATTCACAATCTAACTCACACAAAACATTCGCGGAAACAACAGCGAACTCATCCTTTCCAAAAAAAGACCAAGCAATTATCTTCAATACAGTAAATGACGTCCCGCAAATCGAGTACATCAAAGCATTCAGCCAACTTACATCGCCTAACAACATAAAATTCGCTTCACGAATATCCAACAATAGATTCTGCATTTATTTTGCTAGTAAGAGTATCGTTGACCATATTATCTCAAAACAATCGTATATCGTTATAAATAACACGCAAATCGCTTATCGTCGGCTCATTAGCCCGGCAAAACGAATCATCATATCCAATGTGCAGCCATCTATACCTCACGACATAATTATAAAAGCTATTAACAATAGCCTCATTAAAATATTATCTCCCATTACATTTATGAAAGCCGGTTTCTCAAACGATGAATACGGTCACATAGGCAGTTTTCGACGACAAGTATATTTACATCCCGACGATATCCATAGACTACCGAGTTCATTATTAATTAATTACGATCAAACCGATTATCGCATATTCTTCTCGGACGACACCGTGTTATGCTATATCTGCAAACAAACTGGTCACACCTCAAACCACTGCAAAAAAGATTTGGATAATACGATCTCAACTAATAGCAATATCCCTCCTCCGCCAGAAAACAAAGAAATCGAAAAAGATAATAACTCACAAAATGATCAAAATACCATGGACCATACTAACATAAATCATAGTATCGAAAACAATTATCAACAATCTGTCAACAAGCTGACTCCCCTTCAAGAACCAGCTGACCACATTAAAAGACCTATCTCATCATACGCCAGCACCAGCGACACCGACAATGCATCCACCACTGAGAACCCTATAAACACGTCATCAACAACACCTACGGAAACTCAAAACCATCAAATCAATAATAGCATCCTCACAACAAAGCTATTAGAATCCCAATCCAACGAAAAAAAAAAAACAAATGCAGGAATAACACATAATGCACCCCTAACACCAATTAAGAGCACAAATATAAGCAAGCCTACCACCGAAAAATCCAAGAAAAATCCCCAACCCGCCAACAAAAAAATTAAACGCTCCAACTCCATAGAACTAATAGTAGTTAAACTGGACGAAACACTAGCCCCAGCCATAACTGCTTTTGAAGGAATCCCCAACCGTAAAATAGACTTCAATCAGCTCAAATACATTATTGAAAACTCCCTCAGCGTGGATCATCCCTCTAATATTCTAAACCAATTTAACATAACCCCGATGGAAATGATTGAAATATTAGACACGATTCGTCCGAAAATAAAAAACCTCTCGATTAAAAACAGGCTCACGAGACTATGTAACTCATATCTCGAGTCATTATGAATACGCAATCCCTCTTCAGTATAAATAATAAATAAAGCAAATAATTAAAAAATCATCTTCTCAAAATTATATAATAATCATCTTTACAAACTCCAAATGCAGTCACAACCAAAAAATATTATACAATGGAACCTCAATGGACTCCATAAAAACATCGATGAAATTAAACTTATAATAAACTTACATCAACCTATTGCAATATGTCTTCAAGAGACTAACCTTAAATATGACGAATCTCCACCTTATATAAATAACTACCAATATGCAACTAAAAACCGTAGAGGCTGTCTGAGGGCAAGCGGTGGTGTCTGCATACTCATCAATAACTCATTTCCTTGGGAGGAAATCCCTATCCATTCAAACATAGAAGCCGTCGCAATATCAATCACACTCGAAACAAAAACCACCCTCTGTAATATCTACATCCCAAATCAATTCAACTTCACACTCATAGATTTAGAAAATATTATCAAACAATTACCACGTCCCTTTATTATTGTCGGGGACTTTAACAGCCACAGTATTACATGGGGTTCATATAAAACCGATTCAAGAGGAAAAATAATAGAAAAATTATTGGAACAAGATAACATCGTAATACTTAATAACAACGAGCAAACTAGAATAAATCCCTCGAACAGAAACCTTTCAGCTATCGATTTAACGTTCTCTACACCTACCATAGCACAAAGATTACACTGGCAAGTATTAAATGAAATATACAATAGTGACCATCTCCCAATCTCTATACAATTCATTTCCAATGCACTTCAAACAAACTACTCTACAACAAAATGGAACCTCAAAAACCCTGACTGGCCTCTATTCGCAAACCTTCTGGAAACAAAAATCAACGCGTCAGAATTCACGGATGAAGATATAGATATCGAAAAAACAGTATCCAAATTCACTGAAATCATCATAGAGACTGCAGAACAAACAATAGGCTACTTGAAACCCCCCTCCAAAAAAACACCGGTTCCGTGGTGGAACAATGAAATTAAACAATATATATCACAAAAAAATAAAGCACTGAAAACATTTATAAAAACCAGATCACTCGAGGACCATATAAAACTAAAAGAACTCAGAGCAAAAACAAGATTCTTGGTCAAAAGTAATAAAACTCTAACATGGCGAAACTTCACCTCCGAAATAGGTGCCCAGGTTGATCCCCACATTATGTGGAACAAAATCCGTTCATTACAGGGACGGAAAAAGCACAGTAATATCTATCTCTCCACAAACTCATCTTTAAACACCGATCCATCTTCAATTGCCCACCACCTTGGAAAATATTTCGAAAAAAACTCCAGCAATGAAATGTACAGCCACGACTTCTTAAGGGAAAACGAAAACATACCATCACCTCAACCCTCCGTAATATCGCCCCAAAATACTAATCAGTCTTACTTAAACAGCCCTATAACAATTAATGAAGTTTTGAAAACTCTCAAAAAATGTACCAGCAAAAGTACCGGACCAGACAATATCCCTTATAGCTTTATTCAAAACTTTACAATCGACACACTTAAAATACTCCTAAAAATATACAATACCATCTGGAACAACAACGTATTTCCACAAAATTGGAGAAACAGTATCATCATACCGATAAGCAAACCAGGAAAAAACAAATTCTCAACTGATGGCTACCGACCCATTTCACTTTTAAATACCTTGTGTAAACTCCTAGAGAAAATTGTAAACCAACGTTTAATATGGTTTTTAGAACAGTCTTATTATCTCACCCCCGAACAATGCGGGTTCCGGAAAAATAAAGGTACATATAACTGCCTTTCCAAAATTCACGCAGAAATACAAAACACATACTCCGAAAATCAATACTTAGGTATGATCAGTCTCGATTTGATGAAAGCCTACGATACAACATGGAAACCGCACATTTTAAACAGTCTCACTAAAGTACTAAGCCAAAACCAAATGTTCAATTTTATTAGTAACTTTCTTAAAACAAGAACATTTCAAGTAAGAATCAACCAAACTCTATCCAAGACTTTCTCACAGGCTAACGGAGTCCCTCAAGGATCTTCAATTTCGGTTACGCTCTTCCTCATAGCCATCAACAATATCACACAGAACATTTCTCCACCTGTCCATTCTACACTCTTCGCGGATGACTTTAATATTTACTGCCGAAGCAAGAACTTAGCAACCGTCCAAACCCACCTACAACAAGCCATCAACAATCTGCTTAAATGGACCCATACATCTGGCTTCACTTTCTCTCCTGAAAAATCACAATGCACTGTGTTTACACGTAGGCGCAATCAAAACGCTATAAACATAAAAATGGGTGAATACCAACTAATAAATAATAATACAATTAAAATCCTCGGCATCATATTCGACAGAAAATGTTCCTGGACCCACCACATCAACTCCTTGAAAAACTCAATTTCTCCACGTCTCAATGTTATAAAAATGTTATCCCACACATCATGGGGTTCTAAAACTCATGTTCTATTAACAATATACAAGTCACTTATACTTTCTAAATTCGATTACGGATCCTTCATTTGGACAACGGCACATAAATCAATATCAAAGAAACTAGATACAATCCACAACTCAGGTCTCCGTATGTCAATTGGCGCTTATCGTTCAAGTCCAATTCCTAGTATCTATAATCTTGCCTGCACACAACCTCTAGACATAAGAAGACTCAAAATTACATTGAATCACGAATTAAAATTAGCAAGTACCCTTCCTACTCTTGACTTCAAACCAATATTTCAAATGTTACCATCATTACTCCAGGAGAACAACCTTGATACTTCCAAAATACTCACTATTACTCCCTCTCTCACCCCCCAATGGAAAAATCTCATTGAAACCAACACTGAACTTTCTATATTCAAAAAAGACGACACACCCCCTTCCATCTACAAAAAAGAATATTTCCACATAATTCAAAACATCACAAGTGAAAAAATGTATACAGATGCATCCAAAAGCCAAGACGGGGTTGGCGCTGCAGTAATCTGGAATAATTCGGAACTCATGTATAAACTTCCTAGCACTTGCTCAGTTTTCACAGCAGAGTCAATCGCCATATTAAAAGCACTCGACATAATAACCGATCATCACCTACAAGACACCATTATCTTCACTGACTCCCTCAGCGCTATCAACAATATTAAAAACACATATAACCCATCAGACATCGGCCTACATATTCAGAATAAAATCCACACTTTACAATACCATAATAATTTCAAAATCAAACTCTTCTGGATCCCCGGACATTCGAGCATAAAAGAAAACGAACTAGCTGATCTCGCCGCCAAATCTGCAATCTCCTCTCCACTATCAACGTCCTCACAAATAATCTCTTCCAGCGACATACGATCACTTATAACAAAGAAATGTCAACAAACATGGCATCAGAGGTGGACTTCTTATTACACAAAATTAAATCGTATAAAACACAACACCGTCAATTGGACATTTCCTATCGAAATCCACAGAAAATTCGAAGTCATAATAACCAGACTCAGAATTGGACATACGAAAATCTCTCACAGTTTCCTAATGGCCAAGGAAGAACCACCCATGTGCCCATCCTGTGGTGTCCAAGTCACCATCAGCCACATCCTCACCGAATGCCAAACATACCACAATACCCGAACCAGCCACAACCTGCCCGAATCACTCTCCGAAATATTAAGCAACCACCCTCAAGCCATAGTCAACATCATCAAATTCATCGCAGCCGCCAATCTTCAAACCAAAATTTAGCATAATTTAGATTTAGTAAATAATATTATGTATCTATAATCTCCTCTCTGTAAGCCCAATGGCCCATGTTGCCGAGGGTATAAATAAATAAAAAAAAAAAAAAAATATGAGGAACCTTGTATTACATTTTCAAGGTTTTTGACCAAACAAACAATTTTTATCGACCGACATTGAAAGAGAAAAAAATAATTTTTAAAGTGTTATAACAAATAGAAAATTGTAATATAATATATATTATTTGTTGAAATTTACAAAAATAGGTATCTACAGTTTTTTGTCCTTTAATCTTGTGGAAAAAGCAAAAAACTTAAATTTTTTATTTGGTTCTCCCAATTATTTTGAAAAATACTGGGAATCTTCAGTTTTAAATTCACAAAACTACCAACTAGAACCAATTTGATATTTTTTTTGACATTCACACGAATAAGGTAACTATTAGTCCGTAACTTTACTATAGCCTATAGGTTAACTATAGCCTAAACAACATTGAAACCTACCTACTACAAACGGCACTGATTTTTACATCTTGTTATTGAGTGATAATTAAAAAACAAATAAAATAGCATCTTTACATATTCACATAGAGTTTGAACTATACACGTAGGTATCCAGATTACCATATTTTCATAACATAATATTTTATATAAGAATACCTATAGAAATATAGGTAGGTACAATATTTAAATCTAAAATCATTTCCCTATAGTGTAACAGTAGGTAGGTATTATAGGTGATAAAACTAGGTAGGTAAATATATACTAATATATTATTAGGCTTATCGGACTAACCGCCCACTGACGAGAATCCTTGTGCTAACGGTTTTACACGGAAAGTAGGTTGTTAGCATAGACCTTATGCTTACTTTTAGTAATTATTTACTATATAATATTATGTCTACATAGCTAAGTAGTGTACAAGGTCAATAATGGTTTCCAAGCATCGATCGCTATTATGGATTTTTGTATGAATATTTAAATTATATTTGCTACGTATAGGTACGCCATTATTAGGTACGGCACTAAAAACCATCATGATAATAATTTATTAATATATTTTCAATAAAAAAATATTAAGAAACAGTAAAAAATACAGGCAAGGCAAACAGGATGATATTTAATTAAATAATATGTAGGTCTATATAAATTATTAGTTATTGATAATATTATATAGGTAGGTATTTTTAAGTTGCAGATTATTTAATTTTTTCTCATATTTTGCTCTAGTGGAGTATAGCTCTGTTAAAGTTAATACTTAAAATAATTGTGAAGATTAATGATAATTAACTAATCACGTTATTTTTAATGAAATTATTAAACACTTATTTAATGTTTTATCAAAGTTTGATTTGTTATGAAGAAGTGTAGGTACCTAGATAAATTTCTTTAAAAACATTTTATCAACATGGGTATCTTAGGTAGATACTATAGATAGGCAGATAGGTACATAGGTATCACAACGGCACAAGTTAGAATCTAAAATGATATACCTACGACTACGACACGGAATAATTACAATTCACCTGATATAAGAATAATTTCAATTTTGATAAGATTATGAAAAACAATTAGGTATTGCACTGTTCTGCATTATCTAAGAAATTTTAGAAATTGTAGACTCTGATAAAATGTATTATACAACCAATGAAGGTTAATTTGAATGAATGTTAAGGTTAATATTTTGATATACTTGGTAGGTACCTGTCTAGGAAGCTATAGGTAATTATGTAATATTAATTCAAAAGGTTGATATAGGTACTATAATATTATGTTATGTTATTACGTGAAGTTAGAAATTAGAATACGATATTAAATAATTTCACACATAATAATATATTAAGTAAGCTATTAATGTTTATAGGTAGGTACATGATAATACTCAATACTCATAATTATAGTATTTTACTTTTGAATAGATTGTAAACCTAGGTATAGGTACCTAATATTTTCAGATTAAATAAAATAACCTTAAGTCAATAGTCAATAATGCATGCCAAACACTTATCATTAGGTCAAACATTTAAATAACTCGTATATACCTATAATAGTATGAATAATGACAATACATTTATGATTGTATACCTACCTATTCCTTATATTATGGTTTTTAAATTTGTTTTCTATAGGTATATTTTTATTAAACAAGAAGTTTTTAAAAGTTATAAGTAGTTAGGAAGTCCTATTTATCAATTGAAATTAAATAGAGTTAATTTAATTGCTTTAGGTTATTATCCGATATTTATTGTTTTTTTTAAATATTATTTTATTTTATCAACGATGAAAAATAAAAATTTCAAAAAATATTGAAATAATTTCTAGAACACAATTTAAATGTTCAATAGAACTCTGTCTGTCCAATAATATTGGTCTGATTATTAGATGAATTTTTTGTAGATTTGTAATTTTTATCATTTCAATAGTTTTGTTTATCAATTATCACGATTTCCGTATTTTTGGTACGATGACCTATCAGTTATCATAGGCTAATTAAGTCACTCTTCTTAAAACATAAATGAAAAATAATATGAAGTTCATTTTGTTTTTAATTATTTATAAAAATTAAATAACTGATGATTTTTAAAACAAAATCTTTATAGGTTTATTAAAATGTTATCTAAACTGAAACCTCGACGAGACACGCTTATTTCACGTAAACTTTATTTAATACAACTATAATAGGTAGGTAATATACTAAACAGGGCTTAGCACCTGAATCATTTATTCAGGTTTCGGATTTTGGGATGTATTTGGGTGTTGAAACACCGGAATGAACAATTTAAACAAACGTTCGGGTCTTAATGACCTTTATTATTCGGGTTAATATTGGTTAATATAATAGTATAATGAGTAGGGATGTTCCGGGTACCCGGCAATTACTCGATGGCCGGGTACTCGATATCATATTTAACACTCGGCTCATCTTACTCTGTTCCCGACTACATTTTTACTCGGCTCATATCCAATGGCAAACCCTGACAATCCATTTATAAATATATGCATACCAATAATTAATATAACGGGAAAAATCTAAAATTCTAGGGTAATAAATTATAATTTATTTTGGTGCATATCGGAATAACTGAACCGAATTACAATAGCCAGTTGATTATAAACAAATCATGTTTTTCATCTACAAATTACAAAAATGAATCTCGTGTTTACTGTCTAATGTTTATATACCTAGTTGATAGTTGATACTTTGAAAGTAGTATACTAATACCAATTTACAGTTACTGTTCTGTAGTGGTCGGGAACGGTTGTTTGTCGTTTTTCTTTCGCTCGCTTATCTCGTACCTTATCGACTAACCTTTGGCATCGACGAACTACATTCGAATTTATTGCACGTATATTATAACTGCTATAGCTCGGGCTTCATTAATTTACTATATCTAAAATAACGAAAATGTTGTGTAACACATGCAACGATGACATCTTTCTTGATGATATTTTAACTTGTTCTATATGCAATGAAAATTTCCATTTTATGTGTGTCGCATTGAGAGAAGCTACTTTTAGAAAATGTCCAAAATAACAAAGACAAAATGGGCTTGCAACAAATGCAAGTTTAATGAGAAGCAGCCTATCAATAACTCACCGGTAAAAAAACCCGTCATCGATATTACGAAAGAAAATTTTAATAATCTATCTGATTCAGTAAATTTTATGAGCGACAAGTTTGACAACTTTGGTGCAAAATTACAAGAATTATTATCTTCAGTTAAAGAAATGAGAGAAGAAAATCGAGTATTAAAAAAACAAAATATTATATTCAACAATGAAATTATATTATTGGTGAACCGTGTCAATACGCTGGAACAAAAGGCTCTGGAAAATTTCATTGAAATTATTGGTGTACCGGAAACTCAGGATGAAAACAGTGTAGAAACAGTAAAAACAATCATAGCAAAATTGGGAGTGGAGACAACGGTCAATAGGGCATTTCGTGCACCTTCAAAAATCAAAAATAAACCCAGGAAACTTGTAGCTGAGTTGAGCACTCGTCAATGCAGTAGCAACACCATAAGCAACTCGAGAAAGTCTAAACCGAAAGGAATTATGTTTAACGAAAAATGGGGCATGGAACCAATTTATGTAAATAATTATCTTACTTTTTTTAATAGAAACCTGCTCTTTAAAACTAAGACTTTTGCTCGCGAAACCGGATATAAATTTGTTTGGTTTAAGGATTCGAAAATATTTATAAAAAAAAATGAAGACCAAAAAGCAATTCTAATCGAAAACGAAAGCTCCTTAAGCAACTTAAATTAGATCTCCTTTAATTTCTACTTCGATCTTGTATATATGTTTTTAATTTAATTATCATGGATATATTTAATAATGTGATTGATAGTATTAAATATAGAACTAATTATTTTGAGTCGTTCTCGGAATATAATTCATATTTAAATAACAATAATGAATCTCTATTAAATATCATATGTTTTAACATAAGAAGTGTGAATGCGCATTTTGACGAGCTGCTTTTATTTTTAGAAAATGATGTAAATAATAAGAAAATTGATATTATAGTTTTAACTGAGACGTGGCATAACTCACTGTTTTGTCACTATATGATACCTGGTTACAGTATATTATTCTCTAGTACAAAAAGAAACCAAAATGATGGTATAATAATTTTTGTGAAAAATCATCTAAATGCGGATTTCTATGACTATGACTTTTTAGAATATAATATTGTAAAACTATCGCTGATAATCAACAATGTGCCTATAACTATTGTATGTATATACAGATCGCCCTCATCTGACTCTATAGGTTTCATTAATTCATTAAAATATGTTTTCAATAATTTAAATTTGAATTCTGGTATAATTACCTTAATTGGGGACATGAATATAAACATAATTGGTGCACAAACAGTTAATAATTATGATTACCTAGACCTTTTATCAGAAACTGGTTTCTATTCTTTTATAAATGTATTTACAAGATTACCACTAGGTCAACAACATTCGTGTTTAGATCACGTGTTCATTAAAGACA